CAGCTAACAACTGTCTGTAACTCCAAGATCTGACACCCTCACACAGACTTACATGCAGGCAAAATACCAATGCACATAAAATAAAAATAAATTTAAAAATTAAATTGAGAGAGAGATATTCTTTTATGATATGAAAGTGTATATGGCATATCACTACTACCCTTTTCAGATCTGTAAGAAGCTCTAAGTAAAGGAGCTCAGGGAGGACCAACACTCGGGTCTCCGACATTTCAAAAGCGGCAACAGGAAACATCTGGGGCCAGATGCACAGACTCACCGCTCCAACTCCGGGAGTTTGGCCGAGAGCAGCTTGGGAGAGCTCCACTCCTCCGCAGGATGGCTCAGGGCACTGAAGAGCTTCTGTGCACTGGAGTGCCTGCAACACCAAAGGCTCAGATCAGTGCTGCACCTCCCACAGCAGAGGCACTTCACACAACTAGTCCTGAGGCTTCAAAGCCAGAGACCTTAACAGAGCCAATACTTCCAAAATAGGCACCCACAGACGTGAACAAAATATGGTACCAGTGCATGACAACTGGAATGCCCACAGAAGAAGGTTGGCCTCTTTTTTTTTTAAAACAATCTCAGGTTTTAATTCTTAGCTGTTGGGATTTGAATGAGATCCCCCATAAGTCATGAGTTTTTGAATTCTTAGCCCCCGGCTGGAGGCTGTTTGGGAAGAATAGGCAAGGATGGTCTTCCTGGAGGAGGTATGTCTTTGCTCTCTCTGCCTTCTGTCTGTGATTTGAGATGTGTGAGCTATCAGGTGTTGCTCCAGGCATCAGCTGCCTCCACTTCAACATCATGGACTCCTTAGCCCAAATAAATTCTTTCTATAAACTGCCTTGGTCATGTGTTTTATCACAGTAGCGGAAACCTAGATAAAATAGCAGTGAATTTCCCCCTTCCCCTCTACTCTCCCCTGAGTCTCCTGTAGCCCAGGCTAGCCTCTAACTTGTTATATAGCTGAGTATGATTTTGAACTTATGATCCTCCTGCCTCTCTCTCCCAAGTACTGGGGTTATAGGAATATACCACCATGCCTTGTTTATGCTAGGATGGGACAAACCCATCTTGCATGCTAGGCAAGTGCTCTTCCAACTGAGCCACACCCCCAGCTTGGATTTCATCTGTCTGGCTGTTTTCCCAAGCACAGCCACTACCTGCATGCTGGCAACAAGGACATGACTATTGGCCCTTTCCAAAGCAAAGACCCTCGTTATGTAACATGAGTCACCCTGCAGAGAAAGCACACGCACAAAGCGTTGGGAATTGAGCACAAACACTGGAGAGAGCCACTTACAGCCTCTTTTGTTCCACAGATAATCCATCTTCCTGGACCACTTTTAAAGAAAGCCCTGAGTTATCCTGCTGCTGCCAGGAGGAGAAGACCTAAACAAAACAGAATTTAAACAAAGAACACTTTAAACCCGACAACAGGATATGAAATCCACATGGGATCTGATGACTGATGAAAATCAACACTGTCAGTGAAGAGAAAAACATTATCACAAACAAATTCGCTTCAAAATTGAGGCCGGAAAGCAATTTTGTTCAGGGTGTTTCAAAGCCAGAAATGCCTCTTTGGGTTCCTATCCTCAGAGACTGTGACCTTCCAGAGGTCAAAAAGCCTGGAAGAAGGTGTCAGGAACACTGTTCTGGCTTCAAGAGCATGTTCCTCCCTGGTGACAGGACCACAAGGCAGTGGTGGCCTCAAAAGAAACTGCTGCTTAGAGGGACAGCTGAAGGGATTCCAGAGACTGTGTCTAGGCCAGGAAGGCCAGCAGGAAAGGCTGTGCTTAGAGGAGGCAGACTGTGCTGGGAACCTTCAGAGACAGTCCTCCTTCCTGTTCCTCTGTAGTCTATGACTCATCGTGAAGAAGGGGCACTGCTTGGAAGGTGCTGCAACCACAGCCTTCCAAGAACTTCTGCCAGTCGTGATGCTAGACCAGCCATTATTCAGCTCTGGCTACTGGGTGGTCTCTAAGTGCATCACACAATTCACCCCTCCCCACCTGTAGAAACGGTCTCATATAGCCCAAGATGGCCTCATACTCACTATGTAGCTGAGGTTAATCTCAGAAATCCTGATCTTCCTGCCTCTACCTGTAAGTGCTGGAATCATAAGCATGTTATACTACACCTTGTGGGGCCACAGAATTCTTGGTAAGTTCCTTCCACCACAGAATATGAACTGAGCATGTATAGTAAGCTTATTATCCTGTAGGGTCCTTTGCAAAGGCAAGAAGGGAATTGCAATCCACAGGGAAGGACAGCATGGGGTGGGATAGAGCTCTAGCCCAGTAAGTAGGCTTGTTATTTAATCAAATAGCTAAAAAGGAAATAGATTTAATTGGAACTTAAGAGGGGACAAGCAGATTTCATTTCTGTAGGCTCCCACCGCTCAAACACCAGAGGGATTGTGAAAACACTTATCAGCTATGCTCCCGTTCTCTGTCTTCTCAGCGGTGTTTTTAATCTTTTTGTTGTCATTCATGCTTTTAGAAGAGTATCTTATATAGCCCAGGCTAACCTTGAACTTCCGATCACCCTGCCTCCCCTCCTAGGTACTATGATTACAGGTTTTCACTACCACACCTGGCTTGACTCTCACTTGAATCACACCACTATTAGTCCTTTCTAATAAAAAAGAACCCACGTTTTTATTTGTATAGGTGTTTGCCTGTGTGTTTGGTACCACATGTGTACACGGTCCTCAGAGGCCAGAAGAGGGCACTGGAAGCCCCTGGAACTGGAGTTACAGATGGTTATGAGCCACCATGTGGGTGCTGAGAATCAGTCCTTTGCAAGAGTAGCCAGTGCTCTTCACCACTGAGTCATCTCTTCAGGACCCCCAATGCCCACTTTTCTTTGAGAAAGGGTCTTACTATGTAGCTTTAGGCGGCCTGGAATTCACTACAGAGACCAAGCTGGCCTCAAACTCACAAGAGATCCACCTGCCTCTGCCTCCCAAGTGTTGGGATTAAAGGACTGAGCCACCACACCTGACTTTACATTACCATTAGTTTGTTAAAAAACAGTATCTTATTATTTAAATTGCTAAGGGAAAAGAAAGTGGTTATTTTGCTAAGTTGATAAATAATGTTACCTCTGAGTAAAATGCTTGATATATCTTTGACTTGGGGAAAAGAGCAATCATCAGAAAATTGCTTGGTCCATGGAACTGAACTGGGAGATGAGGAAGTAGTGACCCTCTGAAGTCGATGAGCAGGGCGGCCACTATGCTGGTGGAATCCTAGAGAGAGAAAGGAGCATCAGAAGAGGACCCAGCGGCAGGACTTCTGCCCCACCAGTGTCAGCACACACAGGACCAATTGCTTTTCAAGTATTTCTGCAGAAAATGGTTACTGAATTTAACCACAGCCATGCTCTCCAGCTCCTAGCTACAGGAGATATTGGCAC